CGGCCCCTGTCCGCGGCCGCCCAGATCCCACACTCACACCCCACACGCCAGGGCACTACACAGTCCCCCACACGACCACACCCTCGCACCCTCACACACAGACGGCAGCCCTCGACCCAGACATGCACTCTCCGCCAGCCCGCACACCTTGCACCCTTCCAGCACACACACACACACACACACACACGCACGCGCATACACGCGCACATCTGCCCCATGCACCCAGAGAAACAGTCACACATGCTCCAGGTGCCCCTCACTCTGCTTCACACCCTACCCACTCTGTACAGACCCGCACAACACACATCCACCCTCCCACACACACTCACCCTATGTGCATATACCCCAGAAACATACTATCCTCCCCCCCACACACACAGGACTCTTCCACATCGTATACACACACCTCAAACATCCGCCCAAGTGTATACGGTCCACACACTCACAGAGAGATGCATGTGCAAGCACACCAGACCCACATTTACCCACCCACACACTCCACACATACCCCACAGGGACCCCCACAACATGGCAGATGCCACGCACACACTGCACAGCTCAGGCACTCCAGGCACAGATGCCACAGCCCCTCAGGTGCTACACACACTGCCCCGCACAGAGTGACAGCCACATACCCTTAGGTGCAGGTGAAGTCCCCAATACCCCTGTGGGAACCACCCTCCTCCCCAGGACTCCCTACCTATTAGCTCTACCTAGAGGGGCACCACAAGCTGATGATCACTCAAAGCTGGCCCCTCTTCCACCCCCTGGCATGTGAGCCAGACAGGAAACGCCATGTTGTGCTAGCCCCTGCCCTGCTCGCCCTTCCTGGCTCTCCCTCTTCCCAGGCCCCATCCGGGTGGGGCTAGCAGAGGCCTTGGCTCGTGGATGTGTAACCACCATTACCATTTCTAGCCCACTCGACTGTTCACCAACAATATCACTACAATCATTTGCTGTGGCCCGGGGCCATTACTATGGCCTCATTTGTAGGGAAGGAAACAGGTCCAAGAGCACCCAGCTTGTTAGGACAGCATGGGGACTCCAACCCCAGGACCCCTCATCCCAACTTCTATCCTACACCCAAATCCTAGCCAGCAGCCAGGAAAGCGAGGCAGCTCCAGCCCAATCCCACTCCCGAATCTAGGAGGAGTCCAGGACGAAGCGTCATAAAGGTTGGGCCTTTTGGGGGCAACTACCAGAAGGAAGCACCAAGCAGGTGCAGCTCCCCTTCCCCCCATTCCACCATCCACTGTCCCCAGCAAGAACCTGCCAGGAGGGTGGCCCAATGGGGAGGTAGGAAATCCAGAAAGGGGGTGGGGGGTGGGAGATGGAGGGGCAGAGATGGGGAGGGGCCTGGGGGCAGAGGGAGGGGAAGGGAGGAGACAACGAAGTGTCAGAAGGTAAAGGAGCAAGGGATGGGAAGGGAGCCTGAGGGACAGAGGTGGGAGGGGAGGGGGAAGGGAGCAGAGCGGACCACGAGGGAGGTCCGGATCAAGGGAGGGAGAAGGAAGAGAGAGGAAGGGTGAGGGTGAGGCGTGTGGGGGCGGCTGCCTGTGTCAGCCAGGGAGCTGGTTTTGTTCTCCTGTTTCCTGTTTGCTGTTTGCTGGGCTCCCCCTCCGTGCAAGAGCTGGACCCACCACCCCCACCCTGGCGGAAGCCAGATGGGAAGAGTGAGGCTGCCACGAGCTGAGTCAGGAGAGCTTAGAGGGAGAGCGGGAAAGGACTGCAGCCAGGGAGAGCAGGACACGCTATCTCCATCAGCACCCTCTCCCGCCCCACTTCCATCGCTAGAAAACTAAGGATTCCGTGTTGGGACCACTCCTGCCCTGGCCTGCCCTGTGACTCTGTCATACTGTCCAAAGGCCAGACCCTCCTAGACCAGCTGGAACCACCATCAAGCTGTCTCCCCAGCCATGTCAGACTCTGGGGCCCCAAGCGGAGGGCAATCAGATGTCTTCAGCTCCAAGTCTGGCCTGTCCTCCCAGCAAGCAGCCAGTAAGTCCTTCCAGCTGCCTAACTTGCGTTCCTCTTGCTGCTAGTCCAGTCCCTGGTTCTAAGGAAATGGAGTGACTCTCCCCTGTCATCCCCCATGGAGCCGCTGATGGCCAACAGGTACTGCTGTGTGCCCAGATCAAGAATCCACCTCCGCAGAATTCAAAACCGCTGAGGGTTCTGGGGCAGCAGGGAGGAGAGAAGTGGAGACGCAACATGGGTTTTCTGTATTCAGATTGCAGAGACCCTGGAAGGGATCAACCATATACAATGTCCATTTCCTGCCCTCTAACCTGGCAGGGCAGCAAGGCGCAACCAAGGAGGTAACAGATTCCTCCAACACAAACCACACACCTTTCCTTCCCCACCCCCACCACCTCCACACCCAGCTGCCTCTGTGGGGACTTCAGGGCGAGAGTGCACCCAGTGGGGCCTCAAAGGTTGTATGAAGCTTGAATAAATGATCCTCCAGGCCTGGGGAGCCTCTCTGCTCCCTCCCCCATTTCCTCTGGGAAAGGAATGTGGGGTGGGCCCCAGAGGGTGGTGGGGGAGGGGCCCAGGGCTGGGAAATACCAGGCGTAGCTGAGATTCTATTCCAAGCCTTCCTGCCTAGCGTGAGTCCTCCCCCCACGCCCTGCCCAGCTTCCTCCCCCTGCATCAGAAATTACCCTGCTGAGCTGCCCCTCCCATCCCCCTCTAGTTTGACCAGCTTGCAAAATCCATTCAACCTCATCTTCCTGAGGGTCCCTGGTGAGGGGCTTGAAGGCTGCATCCCCAAAGGGAGGGCATCCAGTCTTCACTCCTTCCAAGAGATCATTGTCTTTTACTATTTGAAAGCACTTTCACTTGTTCTCATTTGACACTTACCCTAAGAATCAAATAACCAGAGATTTTTTTTTGACATCCGTTTTTCAGTTACAGAAACTGAGGCTTGGTCAGGCGTGGTGAGTCACGCCTGCAATCTCAGCACTGGGAGGCCAAGGTGGGCAGATCGCTTGAGCCCAGGAGTTTGAGATCAGCCTGAGCAACGTGGTGAAACCCGATCTCTACAAAAAACACAGAAATTAGCCAGGTGTGGTGGCACGTGTCTGTAGTTTCAGCTACTCAGGAGGCTTAGGTGGGAGGATCACCTGAGCCTGGGAGGTGGAGGTTGCAATGAGCAGAGATCACACCATTGCACTCCAGCCAGGGAGACAGAGTGAGACCCTGTCCCTAAATAAATAAATAAGAATAAAATTTTTTTAAAAACTGAGGCTCAAAGAGAACAAGTGACTAGTTCAAGGACTCATTTTTACTAAGCTGGGACCGGATCCCAGGGTTCTAACCACTTACCAGATCTTTTTCCATTACGCTCTTGTTTAACCACATCTTGAGTACCTGCTGTGCGCCAGGAGCTGAGACACCTTGGAGCGTCATGAGTATTGTCCCAGCTAATAAAACCTTTAGGGATCCCCAAGTTCTAGACTGGCCAAAGCTGGCTGCCTTCACCCCCACCAAGGGAGACCCCCACAAACCAAGGGAGCCCTGCTTTCAGGTGCATGGGGCCTCTTCTCTGTGGGAGGTGACAGTTTTTTGAGGGTGGGGCCAGACACCTCCCAGGCTATCCCTCACAGGAGAGGGTGGTCTGGACTGGAGGAGTAGAAGCAACCAGGCACTGGGGAAGGGGAGGAGAGCGTCCTGAGTCCCAGGGGTCAGAGATAGGAGCAAGAAGGAAACTGACGTGTTGCAGGGCGTGTGGTTCAGGAAGTGAGAGAGGGGCTCAGGGTCGATTCTGCCTGCTTTTCCTTCCTCGGGCTTGCTCAGCGCTCTTCCCAGAATGTGGGCCCCAAACCGCCAGTTGACAA